CAGGGGGGTGGTTAATGATGATTAGCAGAATGAAAGCAATCTGCCAGAGTTGCTTAAAAAACAACAGTTTTACTTTTAGGAATAATTATGACCTAAACATATCGTCTTACTTAGCGAACATTAGTTTTAAAATGTTGTATTCAATTTTATCATTACAGTCTTATTTTAAGCTTATTGACAGAAAATATTTTGTTAATTACACGGATGTTCTAGCTTAGGCTTGGGCATGTGTATAAAATGGATGTCGTTGGATTTCAATGGCAGAGTAACGACAAAAGTGCTCGAAATAACTCCAGAAAACTGTAGTAATACAAAAATTGTTCATTCTGTTACGAAGATTCACACAGAGCGAAGATCGAGTAAGAATTTTATGACAATCCAGAGTATTTTTTTTTGGAACTATCTAAATTGATCGAGAAGTTCAAAACTTCAATTTTACGAAAACCAGGTCTTTTTAAACACGTCAATATGATTCAATGTTTCAAATTGAAGGAAGCTTTAAATTAAAGTAAGGGGCATACATTCTTCACTACTGTAAAGTTCTGTATCAGATGACGTATAAAAGACGGAAATTAAAAATTTGGCTCGATCTGCGCTATGTGTAAATCTTGTGGAGATTAAATCATTGGATGATTAGCCTAAGGAAGAATTAGGATGTTTAATGTACTTGCTGTGGTCGTTGTCGTAGTTTCTGTAGTTGTAGTGGTTGTTGTCGCAGTAGTTGTTGTAGTCGTTGTAGTTGTAGTCGTTGTAGTGGTTGTAGTGGTTGTAGTGGTTGTTGTTGTAGTTGTAGTCGTTGTAGTGGTTGTAGTGGTTGTTGTTGTCGTTGTTGTAGTAGCTGTCGTACTTGTTGTGCTAGTGGTCGTTGTTACTATAAAAGAAAATGTTGGAGATATCTTATCAGTATTTTAACAAGCAGAAAATTTCGAAAAATTTAGCTAACAATGAATTTCTATATGGCCTCTAAAATGTTTCGACCCGTTTTTACTTCGAAAAAATTAGATCTTCTATGGGATGCATGCAATGGATAGTAAAACTTCTCATGGTTGCATGTACATAAATATCTATGTTGACTTTTATTTTGGCTTCACCGATGCACTTTTTGTCAATCAGTTCTAATTTGTAGTACAGTTTCATTGATGTATGAGAAATAGAGACAGTATTATCGCAGGTTTTACATACTGCAAACGAATGTTATGAGATCGAGTTAGCGTTCAAAACTAGAAATCCATACATGCATCAATCCATTTCTCGTACAGAGGATATAAAGACTTTTTCAATAGTGGCATCCATTCCGCACTGATAACACTGTGTTCCAAAAACTTCTTTCGTAAAAGAATAAAGTAGGATGTTTTGGAAAAACGAGTTCCATTAAAAATGTGGGAAAAGTACTTCATTAAGTAGATGCCAGCTCAAAAATTTTACCATTCTTTCTGAGGAGTAAATGTGAAACGCAAGGATATTTATTCTCTGACACTTCATGCCAAATATGACAGTTGCAGATAGATTAATCTTTCTTCGTGATGATGAGGTCTCGGATAAGAGAGAGAGAGAGAGAGAGATATCATGATTGCACATTAGAAGGTATGACTTTAATCGAAGAATATAGCGAGAATACGCGGCTGTGTTTAAGACCCTACCATTTAGAGGATACCATTCTTTCTGATTCATGCTTATGAGGAATTGTACATAAGCCACCAACGACCTTACTCAACTAGTCTTACGGGTTTAGCACATATTTCTACAGTAGATACGTAAGTTATATCTGAGCTAAAAATAAGCTAATCAGGAGATATCGACGTATTAGTACGCCACAGTGTGTTGTATGTGTATCAGCGAGTGTGTCGGCATTTTATCATGCCCGCAAACAATCTATTTTAGAGCTCATAGTATTTGCTTTAAACTTAGACTTCACGAAAATCATCGCACTAAAAACATGCTTCTATTACGCATTCACAGATGTTATTAGTCACAACCACATGATTATCAAGATGAAGGCTAGCATGTGTTGGAAATATGACAATAAAGTTAGTGCTCTGAAAAAAAGATTGGATGCAAGTGAAAACTTGTGCCTCGAGCCGAGTTTTGGTTTAAGCTTTGTAAATGCCTAATAAAATCGACACCATGATACTGACATTTGGGGTGATAGAGATGCCATATCTCATGAAATTAAAATCCAATATATATATCTACCTGATTCCTCTAAATACAATGTCAGAATTGTTGCCAATGCCACACTGCCGACTAATATACCTAGAAGAATACCACGCAGTATAGCTGTTGAATAAGAATAAGAACTTCTGAAAAAAATGTACATCGGTTCGGGAAATGTTGCTAAGCAAACATATAAGTGATCTAACTTTTGAAATTCCGGGTCATATCGCTTTGATTGATCATGCCATAATTCTTCTTTTTTTTCTTTTTCATGTATCTTTGAGTCTTTCGAATCAGGCCCCCACCAGTTACTACGTTGTTCGTTGTGCATCACAAAAATAATACTTCAGTTAGAAGAAAACAATACGAAATGAAACAAATACTTCAAATGACAGGAACAAAATAGAAAATGGAAAGTTAATTTTTTACCAAGCCTATTAAAATTTCAATCCAATGATCGGACATCTATACGAAACCTTATACTATATTTATTTAAATATTCTTTATTAAACAGATGCCCAACATATACGTATGCTTTCAATTTTGATTCATAAGGCATGTATTAACGATAGAAGAAAAAAAACAGAACAATAAATACATCCTTCATACCATGTGCTATTTGATTCCAATCAGAATTTTGAAGGAAAAAATGATACATTATTTCAACGCAGACTTCGGGATCTTTAGAATTGATTTCTTAAATTAAGAATTTAATTGAGCTATTGTAATAATTTACAAGCCACCCTAGTCCCCACGCATAAAAGAAGACATAGATATAGGCGGACGTACACATTTGAATTCTATTCTGATTGACATCTACACATTTTCTGAAAATTTTGTCGAACCGAGTGACGATTTCTTCGTCCAAAACAAAACTGTACATGTTTTTCTTCTTCTGTCTGTTATTTCTTGTTATCATATTAAATAAAACAAAATAAAATAAAATAAAATAAAAAAAGAACAAACACATAACCGAATAAGAAACAAATAGAGCATGAATCAGTATAGCTACGTCAGTTTGTTTTCTATTTTTACATAATATAAAAAGGAAGAAGCATGTTGCTTTGTTAAAAATAAAAGGTTAAGGATGAGAAACGAAAAATAAAGGATGGATGGGCACCAATGAACAAACAAAATTGATCAAATATAAATAATCACGATAAGGAATGATCTTTGAAAATTATGAGAGATGAAATCTTGTTTTAGTAAACATTCAAGTTAGACATTAATGAGAAAATAAAATTATGAAAACAATAGTAAATAAATACGGAGAGAATAAAAAGAAAAGAAAAATATTGGAATTGTGTCAATCAACAAAATTAATTCACTTGTCCCATTATTTGTCGACGAGTCCGTGGTGTACACGGTGATGTAACTAAAACGAATAAATGCTTATAGTAATATCACATAAAGATAAATGTTTGTTTGTGAGTAGAAGTTTTATAATAATAATAATAAAAAGCATATATAGATGTTAATCGAAGCATGAAAAAGCGACAGAAAATCTTACGCGAGATTTTATTTTTCATTTACAACACCTGGAAGGTAAAATTTTTGAAAAAGAACAGCCTCAGTTGTATTATTTACCTGTTACATTGGATGTCTTTTTATCACCTGGCGCCATTGGAGAACTATTTGTAGTGAACATACGAGTTCGTTCTCTCACTGATAAACCTGTCAAAATGTTTAAACTCGTTCATTAAATACGTTACTTAGAGATACACGAATCTTACGTTTATACTGTTCGTTATCTTCCGATATTGATGAATCTCCCACGCCACATGTTCCATCGGGTCCTCCTTGATTCTCTGCTGAAGATGAATTAGCTGTAAGAGAAAGGAAACGAAATTATCAAGAATCATTTCAATTTTTTAAAGATAGCTCTTCGATATCCCCCATTGACTAGAATATAATTTAATTAGCGAGAGATAATACGAAATATACCTTTTTTGTCTGATTGATAATGTCTTAATCTAGTCACCGGTCCTTCTCCAGTGGGATCTAGTACTGGAAGCACACGAGTACCAAGCGCAACTTTGCCTGTTCGAGGTACTACTGGTGGTGCTTGTGATGATAAATTATCTAATGAATTATATGAGTCCTTTTGATCATCTTTATTCGTTAATGCGGACGATGCCGGTGGGCTCATTGACATTGAAAATTTTGATTCTGGTGATTCTTGTGTTGAATTTGAATTTATAATTTGTGATGAAAGATTCGTTGTTAATAAGGGTGTCGATGTTTGTTGTTGTTGAGTTGTTGCAAGACGTGTCTGGAACGATGGTGTTCGTTGTAAATTTTTAGTAGGGACTGGTGGTGGTAGTGTGGTTGTCGGTAACAATGCTGTTTTATTTTTGGTTGCTGTTCTAAATATTGCAACGAAAAGAACAAATTTCGAGTACAACAAAAAGAAAATGAATAACTTGTAGAATAGAAATGAAAAATACATGCAGCAAGGTTCATTGATTCAATCTTTCTTTCCCGATAGGCAAGTGGTGAGAGTAGTCGCATGCAATTGTTCACTAACTATTTTATTTTATTTTATTTTGTCTTGTTGTCTATCGGAGAGAAGATTTCTTTTTCTTTTCCGAATAGCTCATTCAACTCCATTCAACGAAAAGACAACGCTACGTTCACTTACTTTAGTGGTAATTCTGTTGTTGATGGATCAAGATTGGAGATATAAGGAAGATTTGCATTGGATGATTCAGTAGTTGATGTTGGTAGCGCATCTCCTAGGCTATTATCATCATTATCAAGACCACCATCAGATGAACTATCAGGTGAAACACCATCTGTTGTTTTCCGCACTGGCGGTCGAACATTGCCACGGCGAGGTCGATCTTTAGCTTTAATAGAAAAATTAATTCAAAAAATAATATTCGACATAAGAAAATCCACGGATCAAAAGGGAATTTTTAAGACACATTTGTATGAATATAAACTGAATAGATAATAAATTTTATAGTAAGAAATCAAATGATTTTAACTACGTCTATCTTTATGTATACATATTTCGGCTCTAGTTCATAATTAATTCATTTGTTGGTCTAAAGCATTATCGTAGCTAGTTGATTTACGCACCTAGATGAACTAATTTTGCCGTTGGTTCAACTTCAAGATTATCCTCTTGTCCTAATAATGCCATTCGTTTTTTATTGGGTACTGTAGGCGGTATATTTCGTCTGTGTTCTCTGTCTTGTTCTTGTTTGACCAAATCTAATAAATCATTTTCAATACGATCACCTTCATCTTCGAACGAATTATCTTGTTTTTTCGTTCGATTTAAAACAGAAAAATTATCATAAACTGGATTATACTCTTGTTCGTTGGCAGTAACTAGAACTGTCCGACGATGATTAGCATTTGATGATGGTTTTGGTGATATTGCCAGTGGAGGAGTCGAATCTTTACTTTGTGTATTTCCTAATAAACGATTATCTTTCGATGCTGGTGTAGAAGCTTTTGGCGATGGATCTAAATTTCATATTTATTTTCACACTGAAATCAAATAATACACGATTACTTGTAACATATTCAGTAGACTCAGCTTGTTTTAATGCTCGAGAGTTCATAGTGTCATCGACAACATCTGGTTGAGTGTTCGTTTTTTTTTGAGCAAGACGATGAACAACTTGAGCACCACGATTAACCAAACGATCAAGTGCTATTGTTAATAAAGAGGAATTTTTAAAAAAGTTTTCTATGAAATTATAATAGATTTACTAGATGTTGGTGTATGGTGTTGTCCATCTGCTGTTGATGATGGCGAAGAAGCCGCTGTTTGCAATATGGTGGATTTCTAAAATTGAAAATATTCTCATGTTTCTTGTTTTAATGGCGAAGAATAAATTTTTTATTGTAAAATCTTACCATTTGCTCATGCATATCAGTCGCCTTGCCATTCATAACATCATAAGCACGTTTTTGTAAACATGTTGCAGCATTAATATAACATTCACGTGTGTATGTTCCTATTCTATCAGGCATATCAGTGTACAATAAATGATTTATACTATTGTTTGATTTTGAAAAATGTGTTCGAATTTCTTCTTGAATTTTCTAAGTGAAAATTTTAATTCAATTTTTAAAGACAAAATTTGAAGAATTTTCTTTATTTACATCGTTAGAAGCAATTAATGCTTGTTCTTTAAATGATTGATAGAATTTTTTCGATAAATTTTCTTGCGTTTTCAATAATCTTTGTTCGAATAGTTTGCACATATCATTCCATTCATCTTTTAAACGTTCCTCTTCAGCCAGATATAAATTATACAATTCAGATGAAGCCTTAATAAATAATTTGTTTTGATATTAAATTAAAATAGTTCACGTATATATTTATTTACTTCATGAATGTGTGCTGGTCGCGTTAAAATTGATTTGATTTCATCATTTTTATTATTTGCTCGATTTGCACATGATTGAATATATTCAAGTGATACTTGGTCACCAAATAGTTGTTGTTGATTTTCCCATGCCATTGTTAATTCAGTAGCTAAATTAGCGATTGTTGTTGTTACAAGACAAGAATCAGTTGAAGATGAATTTTTATCTCGTTGTTGATTTCGTAAACATAGAGAATCAAGCTTAAAACATAAGAATATTATTAACAAAGAAAATAAATGAACATAAATTTAAATACTTTGACCATTAAAGATTGCAATTTTTCCATGCGCTCTTTTTCTGACGTTTTCATTAGGATAATATCCGTAATTGGCACCGGTAAATACTGAATAACATTATTTCTGTAAGAAAATTAAAAGTAGAGAGTTATGGATATGTATTTAGTTAAATAGGCACGATAGTCTTAGTTAGACGAGTACAGAAACGGATGCATACCCGAAAGGAATAACTCAGTAGAAATGCGCATCTCTCAGAATACCAACAAAGGCGGAAAGAAAGCGTAGTACTTTTTAGAAATAGATATTTTCTCTCTCGAGTTATAAAGTGATAGAGAATTCAGAAAACTATCTCCATTAAGAAATTGTTAATATTGGCGTCTGAAATCTTATTCTTTGTACAGTGTGAAGTGTTTCGAAAAAAAGAAGAAACTACTGTCAAGTTAGCTTCATGACAAAAATATGAGTATTCATTGTTTAGCAAACAAATCACAAAAGCAATTATTAAGACAACCCTTTAAAGTATATAGCAGACCAACAAGACAAATTGATTTACTTCTATTTTAGGAAAAATTTCTTGGATATTAAACGTCTGAAATCAATACTTTCGAATGTTTTTCTTATTGAAATTTAATGTTCAGTTCATGAAAATAAATCGCATACATACTCTTGCAAAGCATTAACAATATCTTCAAAATTGTTCAAAGAAAGAAGATTCCGATCATAAAATATTGTATGTAAATGCCGATTAATTTGTAATACATAAGTCAATGCTCGTACGCCAGCATCGCCCATTGTATTTCCTCTATTTAAAATGTAAAATCAACCATATTAGCAGAATCAATTTCTGAATTTTATCTTACCGAATATCAAGAGTTCTTATTGATGTATTATCAGTTAATGGCAGAAGAATGTCTGCTACATTTTCTCTTAATCGCGAATCAGCGATCGATAAAAATTCAAGTTTCTAGAAAATTTCATTCAATAGATGTTTTCTTTTCATTTCTTTCATTATCTTTATTTACACTATATTCGGCAAGGTCTTTCAAAGCAGTCATTATTCGTGATAGATTTCTAAAAACAAAAATTCAAAATAGTAATTCTTTTGAATATACATCATGATTTACTTTGGTTTTATATTAGTGAAATTTTTGCCTATATGAAGTGATTTCAATTTTTGATTTCTCGTCAATTCGACTAATAATGGTACAACTTCATTATCCAAATCTAAACAGAGAAAAAAATCGAATTGGTTTCTAATCTAAATCGTTTCTATGTGAAATATCGCAATGATGATCGATTGATCAAGACGAGATAGCAAACTAAATTTTTAATCATAGGCATTTATGTTTATTGAACTCGAATGAAAGTTCTATAATAAATTGTTTTCATGAAGACTTCTGTAGATTTTCCATTGAATCTCTTAATTGACTAGGGTTCAAATATTTACTGCTGAAAGATGATTTATTATACAAAGAGGCCTTGTTCTTTTGAATTATAATTGTCTTACCACATCCACTAATATCAAGGTAAGTTAGACAAGGAATAGTTGCAAAATGAGGTCCATGTTCACGAAGAAATGCTTCAAGTGGGTTTCCAGAAAGACGTAAATCAAGATTTTTCAAATAATTGTTCGAATAAAGACCATCAAATAATTCTCTAAATTGGCATTCAAAAAGAATAAATTGTCTGTTCGAATAGGCACTATTCTTGATTCTACCTGAGAAAGTCTACTGATAAATTTGCATTTGATATTTGCAAGATTTCTAACGTTTGATTTTTTGTGAAAAAGAATTTCACAGCACCGGGTATTGTGAGTGGAGTAGAAGATTTTGTTGAAGTTATATGCAAGCGACGAAGTTTACAACATGACGACAACAATGTATTAAAAAACTAAAAATCATATTTATTTAGATTCGTATAAAACTTATTTATATTAATTTACCGAGTCAAGACTGAATTCAATATCACTTAAATGTAATTCTTCTAGCACATTTTCACCATTAGAAAATAAAACAGTAACACACTAAAAAGAAAAGCATTTAAATTATTTTTTTCTCGAAATGTCTAACTTACGCTTTCGTCTTTAATACGATTTCCAGATAGATTAAGAATTTTAAGACTTTTCAATAAATAGCTATTATTAGCCAAAGTTGCATTAAAAAGAGATAAACTTTTATGTGTAATTGAACATGATTGAAGATTGACAGAGCGAAGGGGTAGTTTACGTTGTTGTAATGTCGTGCTCAATACGTTTAAACCTTAAATAGAGTAATGTGAAATGATGAAGTTAACGATCATAGGATCAAACATGAGTATTCCTCCTACTGAAAGAAGCTTAACAAGCTAGAAAATGCATACAATTCGAAGGGATATCTATGTTTGATTCATAGAAAAATACAACTAAAAAGATTCGCTGCTCCTTTTTTTTTTAATATTTAAAGTTTTATCAATTATACAGAATGCAAATTAATTCGACTAAGCTTAATTTTAGTAGAATTCGAACGACTGATGCCTAAGATCATGTTACCGTTTCAATTCATATTGTCAAAATTTATTCTCCTTGGACTTAGAAAAAAAGTCTCGGCAATTAAACAATGTCATAAATTTACCTTTATCTTCAAATGCATTATTCGATAAATCAATGTTTTCAATGTAGGTAGCAGGTAGATGAGAAGCAAATCGTGCATAGAAGTCTCTTGAAGTTTAAAAAGAAATCTTTTTTCTGCGTTAATAAATATAATAGCTTACTGTCTTAGTCCACAGTTCGATAAAACAAGATCTTTTATTGTTTTATTTAGACGCAATACAGCAAAAAGTTCTTCGGCACATTCCGTTGACTTAAGAGAAAAACAAATCAAAGATAAAGCAAGAAATTTTATTTAATAAACAAACCAATTTTATATTTTCAATTGTCAATTTAGTAAACCAATCATTATGACGTAGTGCACGAATAATTGGTAACCAATCTTTTTGAGTATAAGATTCGAATGCACGAAATGTAAATTCACGTGATATTCGATGTGCGAATACTGTATCAACAAGCTAAATAAATTTTTTTTAAGATTCCATTCAAACATTCACAAGGACTAAATTATCACAATGGAACAAATATGCAAAGGGTCAATGAAAGCAAGGTTTATGTTCATTGTGATCAGCTTGACAGGGTAACATCCGATAATGAAAAATGAAATGAACTAACGAATAGAACTTTTGTCAAACATGCACTCTATTACCGATTTTTATATTTTTTTTTCAATATTGAAAAAGTCTTCGTCTATAACTCTTTTCATTTTTCTTCCAAAAATTTGTATATATATATATATATATATTGCGTTTCAACCTCATGAATTTTATCAATAAAAGAAAATATTATTCTATGAAACCCAACACGCTCGTACTTGTTAATTAATAGAATAGAATATAATGTATAAATAAACTCAAGATTTTTATCATTATTCATTAAACCAAATTCATTTCATCATGTGCGTATAAAATATAAGTATTGTAGATAGTAGGTCTATTGAAATCTATGATATGTTTCCAAATTAAAACTTACATTTTGTACTGATCGATGCAATGGAGTTTGATAAAAATCACAAGCACATTCATAACGTATCGAGAAACCGCCACAAATATGAATATCACTTAATTTATCTTCAAAATATTCATTTGATAAACGCACTAATCTATCGTATTCATTCTCTGGACGAATGTCCACGCTAGAGAGAAAAATAAACAAGAGATATGATTTGAAATACATTTTTTTTTGTCTAATATTCGTACATAGATTGTAAGTGATGAGGGAAAACAGTACGGATCGTTCGAATAAGAATAATAAGAAATGGCTGCAAAGATGCTTTATCATGAAAACCATATAATGAATGACTTTGTTTTACATCCGTTTCAATAATAACCTAATTTGTTTTTATGAATAATAATAAAGCATATAGAAAATAAGATTGCTTCCGATAACTCACATGTGAATCGCTTAATCGTTCTATTCCTTTAATCGATAGAATATTAAACTGTGATTCGATCTAAAAAAGAAAGGAGAAAATTGATTTCTTTTCTTTTCTTGCCAAAAAGTATGGTGTTATACTTTAACAGGTATTTTGACTGAGCAAATATACACGCGGGCAGCCTCCGTACACTAAAAGTTAAGCAAATAAATGAATGTTAAACACTGTTGATTTGTGTTGTTTTTTCTTTACCAAAAATCTGTCTTCGACTTTTTCACCTTTTGTCCCATAACGAATACGACCATGAAAATAAAACGACGGACATTTTGTCACATTTCGTGCACTAGCTATAATAATATAAGAAATATTTTAATTTAAGAAAATCTAACTAAAACTGCTATCCTCACCAACTAATTCAGCAAAATCGTCTCGATCACTCATCTAGAATACTAAGAAAAAAGTATTTTTATCATTTTGACATATAATACCATCCGAAATATTAATCACTCTCAATAAAAGCGCACACAATCGATAAAAAAATTTAGACTCACCTGATCGATCAATCATCGGTAAGAAATGACAAGTACAGGTAAGCAAATAACTACGTCAACAAAAAGTGGAAACGAATCATGCGATAGATAAGCAGAACATGACATAACGCACGCACACATACGTCTATACATAGCAGAATGAATCATAAATTGTAAGAAATAGTTTTGTATTAGAGCGACATCTTTGAAACAATAGCTATGCATATACAAAATTAGTTAAATATTTAAACTAAACGAAAAATATTTCATGAAATTATTACTGTCATAAAAAAAATTAGCTTAGGTTTTGTTGCACCGCATCAGTTTCTTACGATGAAAAAAAGATTCCGATGTGTGGCCTCGTAAATATTATAGCAACTGAGATATTTTCAAGAATATCAATTGCGGAGTCGTGAAACGTACGACTTGCCTAGAGAGTTTTCCGATGAGTGTACACATCTTCACTTGAGGTATCAATGACTGCACTCATAGTCACTTACATCGACATCAACGATCTAATATTGATGTTTGTTTTTGTGATAAACTTCAGGTAGTCAGGGGATATCAATGGACCACTTTTACAGGTATTTACGACAAGTGCCATCCAAGGTACAATGATAACTTCTTGTTCGTCAGAAAACTCTGATACCGAATGTGTATCGAGCGCAGCACGTCTATCAGTTATATTATAGGTGCACAAAACAGTAATTTTACCTTTAGTAGCTGAAATGGCGATGAATTTATCAGCTACATCTCGCTCTTTTGACGTCGACAGAAAGGATCTATTCATAACTTTTTCTGCCACTTCATATTTGGAAAAATCGTTCCCGGTTACACCCATGCCCTGATAAGTAACACCTTCAGCCCATCTGAATTGGTCGAGTGAGGTATCCCAACTGACAACATCCGCAAAGCACATTGGCTACTAGGAAGATTCTTTCAATGTGACTCGTGTTTGAGCGTCGAAAAAAGTGGCAACAACTTCGTTCAACAGCCGATAGAAGTCGGTTTCAGCTGTGTAGAGACGTAACAAATAACTGGAATCATGCGTACGAGTAGGCTCATCGATAAAGTGCCAAACACAGCCAATATATTAATCGCTCACTATTTTTTCCACCACAGGAATATTTGTTAGGAGGATTGCAAAATCACTCAAGAGTATGCAAACATAGTTTTCTTTTGCAACAATATTGGCGTTCGAGCCACTGTATGTTCACAAAAGTGCAGATGCACTGTCAACGAAACGATCTCGATGGCGTGTTTACGTATCTTCAGTATTGGATATCGCGAGTTCCTTTTGTTGAGCCTTATTTTCAATTGTACACGCCAGTCGTTTAACAGCTCTTTTTTTTAGCAATCTTTCTTCGATATCTGAGCATAGAGTTTGAAATCAATGAAATACTGATCTAGTTCAGCAAGGGTTCGGTTGGCCTGAAAGGCCTCTGCAATTATCGAGCTTTGTTCGCTTGAGTAACTGGTTCATTCCTCTGGTTGTGACTTCATATGCGGATCTGAGTTCGGTTGCCACATCCACACGATGCATGTGGTGGAGTCATTAACTGTAGACTTGCTTTTACTGTTGTCCATCTTTATCTTATTTTCGGTTTGATGACAAATGATGCTAGTTGTGTAGTTCTATGTGAATATTTTGAGATTTCACCTCAAACAGAATAACAATAGAAATAAAATCCCCTGCCGGGCATAACTTTTTCTTCACATTTTCATTGTTAAAAGCGTAAAACTTGTATGTGACATGAATTTTTCCAATTATTGTGAAGCCAAAAAACAATCTGCACAAAATATTTTGCTGTCCTACTAACATCATTAAGTACAATACTTGTTGATACGGTTTGACACTGCGAAAAACATGAACCGACCAGCAACGCAACTTAATCAACAAATGATTTTCCTTGTTTGAAATTTCTATCAAGAGTAGTAACTATCCCATCATTTTTCACTCGAGTCAAGTATTTCGCTTTATGGTCAAAGCTAACTGGATAGTAGATGCCGTTTCGATTCTGCTGCCATAAAACAATTTCTCTTTTTGAGTCATTGTAGATGAAATCTTATCCATGGTTCTATTATATTTTTGTAACGTTGTATATGGGATTATTTTGATGCTAAGAGTTTTTAGCGAAAAAAAAATGAGCACTCACCAGTGATTTAGTTAAATAAATTGTCAGAAGTATATCACAAAAAAGAAATTAATTGATTCCAGTAGATTTTATTGGCTTCTTGGTGCATTCTTAGAATGCAAACATGAAAAGTTTTTAGGCAGATAAATTGCCTGTTTTTATAGATTACGTAGATCTAGCGAATGACGTAACTATTTTGGTATAAGCAAAAAGGAATATATCGTCCAATAGATAAGCTTAGTTCGTGAATTTTATTGTGTTTAACTATCGGGTCACAAAAGCTGCAGTATGTCATACTGTTGGATAAACTGTTTGTGTTGTTCGGCGCCAGCATGGGAAAATGCTCTTGATTCGCCATGAGTTATCCATTAGTGAAGCAAGGTACACGAACGGAATGAGAAACTTGATATAATACGGAAAGGACTCAGCATATTCTTCAAAACGATCACTAAATAGCTGAGATTCACAACATAAATGTGCTAATTCAATACACATATATGGAATAAAGAGAAAAGAAATTGACAACAATTGAATCGCCATTTTTCGGTGTTTTCGCCATTGAAACGCTTTACGCATACGATGATTTTTAAGTAGAACTCGTACAAGTAAAAAAATGCTAAAGATTACAATCACTAGAGTTGGCATAATATTACGTGCAATACTATCTCAAGTGCCAATCAACTTCATATTGTGAAAACATAATGGACGGTCACATATCTCTTGCATATAATCATATGTGTTTGTGCACGGTGGAATTATGATGGGAAAGCAATGAAATAGTAGGATGTAACAGACCAGTTCTCTCATAGAAATGTAATGAATGAGAAAACGTCGTTTGGGGGTAGATACCCAGTGACTATGAAATATCAGTATATGCCGCTCAATTGATGTTCAAGCAATAGTCATTGTTGAAGCAGTATACAGTGTGCTTCATCAGTGAAGATCCACATGGTGCATACGCTTGGTGTAGCAGACGAGACAGAGTCTAAGCGGTAATATTTGAAAAATAATGAAATATCTATCAGTTCATAGATTAAACTATTGAATAGAAGAAGAATAATAACATGGTTCTTGATCGTAAGTCGTCGAGTTCTACTAGAGAGGTATACGATAAAGAATAATTGCTGAGCAGACAATGGATGGAATGACAGCTATAAGAAATAGTCAAAATCGAACCGAATTAGATATAGCAGAATTCATGAATTCTATTGTCGAGTAATAAACATGTTCGTCTTCGAAAATAAAAAGCTGTTAGCGCAATTCCTGTGGGATTAAAATGTGAAGCACGATGGAACTCCTTTGCTAGAACCTGTCTACCACGATCTGTGAATCTTTGTAGATTTTCTGCCACTGTCTGTAATCATATATGCAGCCTTTCGGTCTGTATTTTGATCTATGGAGTCAGTAGAGATCATCACAGATTGACAGAGGATTTTATTTATTTATTTATCTGTCCCGGTCTGTGAGGGGGGAGGGGAGGGGAATGGGCTCAAATTTCTGCCCGATATACTTCAACACTCCTTTCAGATCGTGTTTCACAAAAGATAATGTCAATGAATAACTATAGTATGGCACATTAAATACTTTTAATAAGTAATCATATAATATTGAAAAACAGAGTTTCTCACTGAAAAATCGAGTCACGCATTTCCGTTCTCTGATGTAAACGTTTTAGTCAGTTAGCCAAGAGAATGCAAATAATTTTCGATCAATAGAAATATCAGATGAATTTAATATTCAATAGGGCTAGACTCATAGATCGAGCAGTAGATATCGGGTGCGCCTCTTTTCGTCTTCACTCTTCCGGACATCAGGTTATTTGACCGGATGTTCGACATCGGATATAAAAAAATAAAATCGATTTTCCGGATGTTCGGAATGAAAACCGTCCAGATGTTCGGAACGAAAACCTACAGGATGTTCGGAACATAAAGTAACAGATGTTCGAAACAAAAAATGACCGATGTTCGGAACGAAAAAATACTGAATGCTGGAAATGAATTTTGGTGTATGTTTTATAGTGGGAATGAGTAGTAAAACTATAAACTTCTCTGTTTTATAGAGGGTAGGTGCTGGTAACAAAAAATTTACTAATAATTCTCATAAATGTTCAGCCAGCAGTTCATTAAGTGAAAGAAAAAGTAGACGAAACAGATGATGCCAATATTAAACAAATTCCAAAAAAGAAAAAAACAAGACATGCTGCAAAAAAACATTAGACATAAAATTTTTTTCTTACAAAAGTTATTTATTCTCTCACTTGTATAAACTTTTGTTGTCTTATGCCTTTTTTTGTGAAAGACTATACTAGGAAATAAAAGAAAATAAACTATGTTATAAAAAAATTATTTTCTCTTCCGAACATCCTGTACTTTTTCGTTCCGAACATCTAGACGACTTTCATTCCGAACACCTGGTCTTTTTCATTCCGACCTTCCGGCGTTTTCATTCCGAACATCCGGAAACTGAAGTTCGGAATGGACTTCTCCGACCGATGTCCGTAAAAAAAACGAGGACGAAAAGGGACCACCCCTAGATATCAGATGATTTTGAGAGTTTGCGAATGAAAATTTTTCATTTATGTTTAAACGATCACTGTCAGTCCCAATAAACATTCTCAAAACAATAAAAAGTAAATCTAACATAGTAGCAATTCAGTTAACCGACTTTGAAAATTCTAATTGTGCACATACGATCCTTCGTCGTGGAAAGATAATAGATGCTATTAAATATCATAAAAGCTATTTCATGCAGATGGATGTACTGTTACATTTAC